TTTTTTTTTTTGAGATGGCGTCTCGCTGTGTCGCCCAGGCTAGAGTGCAGTAGTGCGATCTTGGCTCACTGCAACCTCTACCTCCTGGGCTCAAGCAATTCTCCTATCTCAGCCTCGTGAGTAGCTAGGACTGCAGGTGTATGTCATCATGCATGGCTAATTTTTGTATTTTTTAGTAGAGATGGGATTTCACCATATTGGTCAGGCTGGTTTTGAACTCCTGACATCAGGTGACGGTCCCAAAGTGCTGGGATTACAGGTGTGAACCACCACTGCGCCTGGCCTTTTTTTTTTTTGAGATGGGATCTCGTCCTGTCATCTAGGCTGGAGTGCAATGGTGCAATCTCGGCTCACTGTAACCTCTACCTCCTGGGTTCAGGCAATTCTCCTGCCTCAGCCTCCTGAGTAGCTGGGACTATAGGTGCATGCCACCACACCTGGCTAATTTTTGTAAATATATATATTTTTTGAGACAGAGTTCTGTTCTTGTTTCCCAGGCTGGAGTGCAATGGCACCATCTCAGCTCACTGCAACCACCACTTCCCAGGATCAGCAATTCTCCTGCCTCAGCCTCCAGAGTAGCTGAAAATACAGGCATGTGTCATCATTCCTGGTTGTAGAGATAGGGTTTCTCCCTGTTGGTCAGGCTGTTCTCAAACTCTGCCCGCCTCAGCCTCCCAAAATGCTGGGATTACAGGCATGAGCTACAATGCCTGGTTTAATTTTTGCATTTTTAGTAGAAATGGGGATTCACCATGCTGCCCAGGCTGGTCTTGAGCTCTGGACTTCAGGTGATCTGCCTGCCTTGGCCTCCCAAAGTGCTAGGATTACAGGTGTGAGCCACTACATCTGGCCCCATGTGAATCTTTTTGATGCTAATGGCTAGTTTAGCTGAGATGTAGTTCCTACATATACTATCTCTCCATTTTCTTTTTCATTTTTTTGAGGCAGGGTCTTGCTGTGTCACCCAGGCTGGAGTGCAGTGATGCAATCTCAGCTCACTGCAACCTCCGCCTCCCGGACCCAAGTGATCCTCCCACCTCAGCCTCCCAGAGTAGCTGGGACTACAGGTTCGTGCAACCAGGCTGGGGGCTAACTTTTCTATTTTTTGTAGAGACAGTGGTCTCGCTTTGTTACCCAGGGTGGTCTCAAACTCCTAGGCTCAAGTGATCCACCTGCTGTGGCCTCCCAAAGTGCTGGGATTACAAGCATGAGCCACCACGCCAGCCTCTCTATTTTGAAGTTGAACATTTTATCCTATCAGGATGCCTTACTGGGATTTGAGCTCTCTCCCGTTTGACGGTGCATTGATTCAGTGTCCTACCTTAGCTGGAATCTTGGCTGCGTGGTTCTCCAGAATCAGTCTCTTTAGGTGCAGAACCCAGAGGCGTTTGTCTTGCTGGGATTTGGCCTGCCATGACGAGATGTGGACAGTCAGACAACGATTCCACCACCCACAGGACCCTCTGATGAGATGGGAATTGACCATGTGGCCAGAAGGCTCTCGAAAAGCCACCTAGCACATAGCACTCATTGTTCACAAAGGGGCTTGTGGGGAGGCTCGGGCCTGCCGTTACCTGGACTGTGTGCTGCAGCTTGGGATTCTTATAGTGGAAGACGCTGAAGCTGAGTGGCTCCTTTGGAATCACCTCCACGAGCATGAGGTTGCCACACTGGAGCAGAGAGAGCAGAGGGTGAGGCACGCTCAGGAGGGAACGGAACCGGGGATCTGAGTCCCTGCCCGTGGCCAGTGTGCAGACCTACCAGGATGTGAGCTTTGTACGTAAACGTGTCATCTCTCTTCTTCGTGATGAGCAGCAGCTTGTCGAAGAGGAAGAGCGTCCGCTCGTTCTTGGCTCGCTGGAGGCGGAAGGTTCCCTCAAGCACCAGCTCCCCGTAGCTGGTCAGGTCTGGCCCCTTCCAGTTAGTGAGCAAGCTCTGTATCTCCTGAGAAAGGGAATGGGGCCATAGCACTTAACAGGAAGCAGATGCCAGGCACCATGGGCTTGGTGGCTCATCTGTTGGGCCTCAAGAATGGTGACAAATCATCCCTGATGGGGTCTAACAATCTACATGGTATCTGATGGTCTATGGAATAAATCTGCATTTACAGATGGTGCCACTTAAGGGTTAACAGAACTGAATCAGGCTGTTAGTTGATGAGCTGCTAATGACTTATTTCCATTCCTTAATCATGCCATGATACGGCTCCTAATAGCTGTTACATCTTTCAAAAGCCAGGTCCAGGGGCTATCAGTATGGGACCTTCTCAGGTAGGCCTCCTTCTTTTATTTTTTATTTTTTTGAGACAGAGTCTCGCGCTGTCGCCCAGGCTAGAGGGAAGTGGTGTGATCTCGGCTCACTTCAACCCCACCTCCCTGGTTCAGGAGTTTCTCGTGCCTCAGCTCCTGAGTACCTGGGATTACAGGTGCCCACCTTCATGCCTGGCGAATTTTTTTTTTTTTTTTTTTTTGTATTTTTAGTAGAGACAGGGTTTCTCCATGTTGGCCAGGCGGGTCTTCTACTCCTGACCTCAAGTGGTCTGCCCATCTGGACTTCCAAAAGTTCTGGGATTACAGATGTGAGTCACCGTGCCTGGCCCTTTCCCTTGATTTTTCTCACCCCCTCTTCTCTGGGAAGAAAATCTTCAGAGCTGTTGAAGACTTTCTTCCAGATATCGAAGTTCATACCACACAGAAGAAATTCAAAACTAAAGCCTATAAAAAATCAGCCCTGTCATTTTCTCAGAAATTTCCTGAGTTTAAATTTACTTACTCAGGGAAAGGAAATGAACCTTTGCACCTAACTTACATTTTAGTGCTTTTTTATTCAAATTTTAAATTTGTATGGGTACAGTAGGTGTATATATTGATGGGGTACATGAGATATTCTGACAGGCATACAATACATAATAAACACATCAGGGTAAACGTGCCTCTGTCATCTCCAGCATTTCTCATTTCTTCTATGTTACAAACATTGCAATTATACTTTCAGTTATTTATAAATTACTGTTGACTGTAATTCCCTTGTTGTGCTATCAAATATGAGATCTTATTAATTCTTTTTTTTTGAGACAGAGTCTCACTCTGTTGCCCAGGCTGGGGTATAGTGGCGCCATCTTGGCTCACTGCAACCTCTGCCTCCCGGGTTCAAGTGATTTTCTCCTGCCTCAGCCTCTCAAGTAGCTGGGATTACAGGCGTCTGCCACCACGCCTGGCTAATTTTTGTATTTTTAGTAGAGATGGGTTTCACCATGTTGGCCAGGCTGGTCTCAAACTCCCAACCTCAGGTGATCTGCTTGCCTCAGCCTCCCAAAGTGCTAGGATTATAGGTATGAGCCATCGCGCCTGGCCCTCATTTAAAATTTTCTAACCTTGGTTGACCACAGGCAAATGAAATTGCAGAAAGTGAAACTGTGGAGCTGGGGCAGGGCGGTGGGTGGGGGCAGGTGGATGAGTGTTCAATAGATTCTGACATTATGTCTGTAAAACACTTGTATGATAAAGTGTTAAACTTTTATTGCTGTTGCAAAACACAAAAGCAGCCTGGAAGATTAGCATGTCATCTTCCTCTGATTTTTGATCGTCAATAGCATCACACCACACTCTGGCTGCCTATACCTGAAACCTACAGAGTTTGTTCTGACTTATGAGCCAAATAATGTATCTTTTTTCCTGAGTTAGGCAAAGCCAGTCTGCATAGGGTCAAGTCACTTTGGGTTTCTCTGTCTCTCTCCCAGGACAGTCAGGAGCCTGGAACTGGCCTCTGGGCCCACACAGCCTCTTGTTTTGTTTTTAATAGTGCACCTGGCCAGGTGAGGTGGCTCATGCCTGTAATCCCAGCACTTTGGGAGGTTGAGGCGGGCAGATCATGAGGTCAGGAGATCGAGACCATCCTCGCCAACATGGTGAAACACTGTCTCTACTAAAATACAAAAACATAGCTGGATGTGGTGGCGCCCACCTGCAGTCCCAGCTACTCAGCAGGGTGAGGCAGGGGAATCGCTTGAACTAGGGAGGTGGAGGTTGCAGTGAGCTGAGATGGTGCCACTGCACTCCAGCCTGGTGATAGAGCAAGTCTCTGTCTCAAAAAAACAAAAACAAAAAAAAAAAACGTGCATCTATTGTGGTGCCCAGGGCATGGTCACTGGCTCAACATCTGTCAAAATGTCCTTAAGATTTAGGGCTTAAAATGTTCATGCTGGATAGGCCTTTAGCACACTTCTCTGTCTTATTTTAAAAATGAGGAAACTGTCTATGGCCATACCACCCTGAACGCGCCCGATCTCGTCTAAAAATGAGGAAACTGCTGGGTGTGGTGGCTCAAGCCTGTAATCCTAGCACTTTAGGAGGCCCAGGTGGGCGGATAATCTGAGGTTAGGAGCTCGAGACAAGCCTGGCCAACCTGGTGAAACCTTGTCTCTAGTAAAAATACAAAATTAGCTGGGTGTGGTGGTGTGCCCCGTAATCCCAACTACTAAGGAGGCCGAGGCAGGAGGATCGCTTGAACCTCAGAGGCCAAGGTTGCAGTGAGCTAGATCATGCCACTGTACTCCAGCCTGGATGACAAGAGTGAAACTTCGTCCCCTTCCCTCCCGCCCCAAAAAAAGGATATTGGAATGACGTGGGAGGGTCACTTCCCACGTGAAACTGTAAAGGAGCTGCTTCAGCCTTGGCCCCCCTTACTCCTCAGTCCCGGCCTATGACCACCCACGCATCACCTCATGGTTTTGCAGGAACTGGTAGCAGAGGAATAAAGGCTTAAAAAACCTTTACATAGTTTAGAGAAAGTTGCTTTCAACAAGAATTACTAACTTTGGCCGGGCATGGTGGCTCACGCCTGTAATCCAAGCACTTTGGGGGCCAAGACGGGCAGATCACCTGAAGTCGGGAGTTCAAGACCAGCCTGACCAACATGGTGAAACTCCGTCTTTAAAAAAAAAAAAAAAAAAAGAATGACTAACTTTGCAATTAATAGAAGTAGGAGACTCCAAATTTTAACTTAGATCATCAAAGGGGCTATAAGCAAACAATTAGCTTAAAAGTTATAATGTCACTTTCTCTTAAATAGCCATACTAGACAATGATCGGTATTACTGGTGTCCTGAACTGCTTTCCGGGAGATCTATGCGGAAGGCCGTGAAGGTAGTGCAGTACCTGAGCAGCCTTAATATTTTACTGGGAAAACAGTGAGTCAGGACATCTGCAAACCTTGCAAGCTCACCTGTAACCGGACCGCATGCTCGTGTTTCCGCTTCATGTCATTGATGTGCCACGCGACTCGCTGCATTGTGTCTATAGCATCAAGCACCACATCATAGCCTTCTGTGTCCTTATCAAGGTGATTTTCTATTTCCTTCAACAAAAAAAGAATGAGGTTTTTTTTTTTCCATTTTTTTTCACAAAGCCAGTGAAAAAAATGGCACCTCTATGATTAGTTCCTTATATTTTATTTTTGCTTATTTATTTATACACTACCAGTTGGGTGCAGTGGGCTCTGTAATCCCAGCACTTTGGGAGGCTGAGGTGGGTGGATCACCTGAGGTCCAGAGTTCGAGACCAGCCTGGCCAAAATGGCAAAACCCTGTCTCTCCTAAAAATACAGAAGTTAGCCGGGTATGATGGTGGGCACCTGTAGTCCAGCTACTCAGAAGGCAGAGGCAGGGGAATCACTTGATCCTGGGAGACAGAGGTTGCAGTGAGCTTAGACTGGGCCACTGCACTCCAGCCTGGGTGACCAAGCGAGACTCTGTCTTAAAAAAAAAAAATTCTTGCCGGGCGCGGTGGCTCACGCCTGTAATTCCAGCACTTTGAGAGGCCGAGGCGGGTGGATCATGAGGTCAAGAGATCGAGACCATCCTGGTCAACATGGTGAAACCCCGTCTCTACTAAAACTGCAAAAAATTAGTTGGGCATGGTGGTGCGTGCCTGTAATCCCAGCTACTCAGGAGGCTGAGGCAGGAGAATTGCCTGAACCCAGGAGGCGGAGGTTGCAGTGAGCCGAGATTGCGCCATTGCACTCCAGCCTGGGTAACAAGAGCGAAACTCTGTCTCAAAAAAAAAAAAAAAAATTCTTACACACTACCATCATTCTTTAAGATTTTGAGGCCAGAAATACCTGCAACAAAATGGTAAGACAAGGAAAAAAACAACCAAAAAAAAAATAATAATAATAAAACAGGGATAGAAAAGATAAAAGTAGAATAGGATTCCAGGATAACTAGGATAAAATACAACATGCACGTAGCCCACTGAGTCTCATAGTGGTATTACAGTTATTATAATAGACACGTGGAGTTCCGAGCTTCCTGGTGGCCAATGTAATGAAGTTCTCAGTAACATGGTTCTCACTCTCACAAGATCAAATGCATGCTTATTTTTTCCCCTTATTTATTTAGGAAGTAAAATGTTCCATACAGGACCTTAATATTTAACAGAACAAAAATATAGCGAAAATTACCTTTAAAAAATTATCTCTATAGCAAGTACATTTTCCTGTAGTCAAGGTTTTAAAGGCCAAATGAAGTTCACTAAAGACAGTCCTTCTGAGTGTCAAGAAAGATCTCATGGTTTTAGCACTCAGCACTCTGATGGTCGGAAGTATGTTACATTAGCAATCACCTTACCACTGGAGGCCTACAGTCCCAGGAGAGAGGGACAGGATCTTTGCTCTAGTTCTTTTGAGCACATAAGACATGTGTCCCTAGATCCTCAGGAGTCTAAGGATAGAGACTATTTTATATAGCTCCTTTGAGTCTTTATTTTCTCCACAGTGCCCAGCAGAGAGCTGGGTGGTAAATAAGTGCTTATTAAACTGAAACTATTGCCTTCTTAAAAACAACAATAACAGTAATCCTATATTAGCACTTAAAACAGTAAGAAAACATTGTAGTCAATTAGATAGTTCCCGTGACATTTATCATACATAATCAGCTAATGGGTGGAGGTTCAATGTTATGGTACCACTTGAAGGCTAGTCCTATTCTTTTATAGTAACAATGTAAATCTTTGTTTACTTTTACTGAGTAGTCAAGTTTTTCATCTAGCTAGAAACTGCAAAGGAATTTACATTTTCTTTCCATACTTGGACTCGGCTGTTAACAAGGTCCTCAATGGCAAATTTAAAAACATAATGATTTCTTCTTTTAACCTGAGAGACAAGCGTGTTCATCAGTAAACAAACTGGGAAGTATAGAGGCTATTTCTATGGGGATTTTCACGGGTGGCAACATAACTTTGAAATGATGTGAATGACATAGAAGGAGCCATCTAATCAACTGTAAAAACAGAAAACACTTCAAAAGCAACCAGAAGTTAGTTTTGGATTAATCCAACCACTGTTCTTTTTTCTTCATTGCCAGCTCTTAATATGGAAGATAAAGGCTGTTTTTCCTATTAATTAACGCTTTGTAAGTATCTTAACTTGTCTCACATGTTTAGCTAGCCGAGATCTTAATCTTTCCTTTTTACTGAAGGCCATCTTACTGTCTAGAAGACCATTTCGAGATTTTTGAGACACATTAGTCTTAGACGTTATATTAACGGAATTCAGCAGAGATGTGTCCTGCACAAATGTTATTTATTTAAGAATTATCTAGTGGCTCACACCTGTAATCCCAGCACTTTGGCAGGCCAAGATGGGTGGATCACCTGAGGTCAGGAGTTTGAGACCAGCCTGACCAACATGGTGAAACCCCGTCTCTACCAAAATTACAAAAATTAGCTGGGTGTGGTGGCAGGTGCTGGTGTCCAGCTACTTGGGAGGCTGAGACATTAGAATTGCTTGAACCAAGGAGGCGGAGTTTGCAGTGACAGTGAACTGAGATCGCACGGCTGCCCTCCAGCTTGGGCGACGGAGTGAGACTCCGTCTCAAACAACAACAACAACAAGAACAACAACAAAAAGAATTCTTTGGAGCTGGGCACAGTGGCTCATGGCTGTAATCCCAGCACTTTGGGAGGCCGAGATGGGCAGATCACCTGAGATTAGGAGTTCAATATCAGCCTGGCCAACATGGTAAAACCCCATCTCTACTAAAACAAGCAAACACACATACACACAAGCCGGGTGTGGTGGTGGGCACCTGTAATCCCAGCTACTTGGGAGGCTAAGGCAGGAGAATCGCTTGAACTCGGAGGCGGAGATTACAGTGAGCCAAGATGGCGCCACTGCACTCCAGGCTGGGCGACAGAACAAAACTCCGTCTCAGAAAAAAAAAAAAAAATATTATTTGGGCAATAATTTAGCAAATAAATCCCACTAAATCTAAGAGGTCATTAGGATCAATGTAAAAATTAAAATAATATCCCTGATGTGACCTCATAGAACATAATATTCTCCAAAGATGAGCTACACAGGCAAACAAAGCTGAGAAATTACTAGTAAAGATGGACCATCAAAGTTCTTGAAATTTTAAATATATATGAACCAAGCAAATCTGGAATAATTATCCAAGTTAGAAACCTAGAATCATTTAAAAAGAGATACCTATAAATTGCAGGCCTTTTGACATAAAGAGGAACTCTGAATTAAAATTCCTTTAAAAAGGAGATTTTCTTTTTTTTTTCCAAGAAGGGAGAAGGTGAAAAAGGAGATTTTAATGTATCATAAAAATAATAAAAACAATAGCTTATTTTTATTTTTATTTTATTTTGAGATGGAGTCTCACTCTGTCGCCCAGGCTGGAGTGCAGTAGTGCGATCTTGGCTCACTGCAATCTCCACCTCCCGGGTTCAAGAGATTCTCCTGCCTCAGCCTCCCAAGTAGCTGGGATTACAGGCACCTGCTACCATGTCCACTTAATTTTTTTGTATTTTTAGTAGAGATGGGGTTTTACCATGTTGGCCAGGCTGGTCTTGAACTGCTGACCTCAGGTGATCTACCCCCCTTGGCCTCCCAAATTGCTGGGATTACAGGCATGAGCTACCACATCCGAGCACAATAGCTTATTTTTATCAGTGCCTGTGAGCCACAGTGAATGTGGGCAATTTATGGGATTTAGACCCAGGCAGTCTTTCCCAGAGCCCTGTTGCTAACCACTCCACCGGACTGTCTTTCTTCTGCTACAAAAGTAAGCAAGTTCTACTTCAGAATGAAAATCACCTATGATAATACCTTTTTTCCCATTCCTATCAACTTTTTTGGAGGGTAAGAAATAAGAATTTGAGGTTGGGCATGGTGGCTCATGCCTGTAATCCCAGCACTTTCAGAGGCTGAGACGGGAGGATTACTTG